GACATAATCAGAATTTTCACTTGGACTAACACTACAGAACAAAGAAAAATTATACTTCAGTCTGACAATAGTTTTCACCACAAATTTCTACATGTAATAATCAGAAATTAAATTCACAGCTATGAGCATAAGTGTAAACAGAGGTAGAGATTTTCTTTTGCCCTGACTGCCCCGTCCCAAGTAAGCACACAAACACTTAGCAATCTATTTCCTGAATCTCTTTTACTTCAGGAGTGAAAAAAAAGCAGCTACAATAATGAAAGAGTAATAAAAATTATGAATATATATTTTATACTGATTCCTGATATATTAAAGATATTTGGGTTTTGCTTGATTTTGTTTATTTTTCAAGGCAGGGTTTCTCTGTGTATCTCTGGCAGTTCTGGACCTCTGTAGACCAGGCTGACCAGTGCTTGCCAAGCAAGATGTTTTCTTAATATGTAAATATTTGTTAATATTTCCATTTTCATAAACTGAATTATATTAAGAAGTACAGAAAAATATATCTTAGTCCAGAGGCATATTAAACATAACATATAATAAAATCTGGTCATTTTATGTTTATAAATTAATGCTTTAATTTATACATGTGATTTTATTTCCTTGCCTGGACAACTCTTCTCCTAAATTCTGCAAACTCCATTCTGTTATTTTCAGTTCATGTCTCAATGAAGCAACATTTGCAAGCAAACCTTCTTCCTCATTGTTGTTGTCTTTATTGTAGTAGTCAGATGAACTAGATTCCATTTCCTTAACAAGAAAACAAAGATATTTCTTATATTCTGCCTGAAGACTTCATTCTATCAGCCAAAATATTTTCATAGCAGTACAATTTAGAAAGAAATTGTGAAAGTGCTTGGCACCAAGACACACAATCTAATCTTGTTCCGCTCAAAAACCACAGGTCAAAGGAGAGAACAGACGTCCCAGATTTGGCCCTTGACCCACACTTGTGTGCACATACACATACACACACAAAAGATTTGTCCCTTGACCTACACACTCATGTGTACACACACACACACACACACACACACACACACAGAGATTTGTCCCTTGACCTGCACACTCGTGTGTACACACATACACACATAAAGATTTGTCCCTTGACCTGCATACTCATGTGTACACACACACACACACACACACAGATTTGTCCCTTGACCTGCACACTCGTGTGTACACACATACACACATAAAGATTTGTCCCTTGACCTGCATACTCATGTGTACACACACACACACACACACACACACACAAGATTTGTCCCTTGACCTGCACACTCGTGTGCACATACACACACAAGATTTGTCCCTTGACCTGCACACTCATGTGCATACACACACACACAAGATCTGTCCCTTAACCTGCACACTCATGTATACACATACATACACACACACAAGATTTGTCCCTTGACCTGCACACTCATGTGTACACACACACAAAGATTTGTCCCTTGACCTGCACACTTGTGTGCACATACACACAGACACACACAAGATTTGTCCCTTGACCTGTACACTTATGTGCATGCGCGCGCCTGCACACACATACACACACACACACAATGAACTGATGTAATTTTTTAAAAATTTATTCAAAGTCATGCAAACCTTGGAGAGTCAACCCAAGATCTGAATCAAGGTATACTTTTCTAATTAACTTCAATATGGAGTGTTAGAATTTAATAACTGTAAGGAGCCATCCGATTATCGCCATTACAAGATGGCGCTGGCGGTCCTGCAGCTTGGAGGTATACAAGTCCTTATTTGGTATTGCCGCGTGGGGCTGAGCGCCCTTTGCCTGCACATGCGCAATTGAGCCTTGTCCCTGGCCAATCCCGAGGCTCCGGGCATCAGCAGACTGGTATTTACCAATCAGAGTAGTACCCGAGTACCCTCACCCTATTTAAGCAGATGCCACTTGGCTTCTTGCTCTCTCTATCGCTTTCTCTCTCTTTCTCTCTCTCTCTCTCTCTCTTTCTCTCTTCTTGTTCTCTTGCACTTCTCGTTCTCTCTCGCTTCCGCTCTCCCTTCAACCAAGAGGCTCCAATAAAGTGTGATTTGAGAAGGATCCTCGACTTCGTGGTTGTTCTTCCTTGCTGGTCAAGGAGCGTGCCACAACTGGTGCCGAAACCCGAGACGCCGGACAACATATCGGTCACCGAGCGAGAGAGAGCAAGAAGCCAAGTGGCATCTGCTTAAATAGGGTGAGGGGACTCGGGTACTGCTCTGATTGGTAAATACCAGTCTGCTGATGCCCGGAGCCTCGGGATTGGCCAGGGACAAGGCTCAATTGCGCATGTGCAGGCAAAGGGCGCTCAGCCCCACGCGGCAATACCAAATAAGGACTTGTATACCTCCAAGCTGCAGGACCGCCAGCGCCATCTTGTAATGGCGATAATCAGACGGCTCCTTACAAATAACCATTTTACAAGTCCGGGGCATCCGATAAAATGTTACCACTACAATCTTTCATATTTTCTTAAAAAGTGGCATTACCAGATAAGTTATCTCCTTCTATTCACAGTGGTTGTAAAATTTAAATATACTCACATTCACAAGTCATATTCACAGATCAAAATGACATCTAGAGGTTGGATAATGTTACCACTCCTTTAATCCTGGCTCTTGGGAAGTACAGGCCGGTGAGCTCAAGGCCAGCCTGGTCTACATATTAAGACATTCTCTCAAAAAAGACACAAAACAAAAAGAAAGAACTCACAGAACTACATGGGGGAACCTTCAGTTGCATCAGCTGTGGGCAAGCAGGTCTAGGATTAACTAAAAGGAAAGAATCATGATGCAACTGGTCAGATGGCTCAGAATTCAAGGGTACAGATTGCTCTTTCAAAGGCTTGCTATTGCTATTCCCAGCACCCACACGGTGGCTCACACTAGTCTGTAACTCCAGTTTCAGAGGAACTCAAACACACACACAAAGCAAAATTAATATCTTTAAAACCATAGCAATGGATATTTTGCTATTTTAATTATTAAAATAACACTAAAAGCTTTAGAATTTCTACTCCTACTATAGAACTTCTTATAATTTCACCTCTTGTTCACATTTCATTTACTCTTTTTCATTGAGGAGCCTCTTTTATCGCCCTTCTTAAAATCTTGGCAACCAATATAATTCCCATGTATTATGGTTTAAGACTATAATGTAAAAAAATGTATTTAGGAAAGCTCAAGGTTTTGAATGCATAAATGAATAAGCTACCTTCTCCGTCGCTATTCTGATAAAATAGTTTGGTGCATTTATTCTCAACTCAAAATTTTGCAAGAGTGGGGTTGGTTAATAAAACCTCTCACCTTGTTGTAAAAAGCTGAGTATTGAAATTAAATAAGATATTTAGAAAATAAAATGTTTCTACTGTCTTTCCGATATTGTTTTCACAAATCTTCTTCTGCTTAAGTTCGAAGATTTCCCCTGTCAGAGAGTGACTCGGGTCCCCATTCTGCTTCAGTCACATCTGTTCAACAATATCTCGAGCTTCATATCGGACAAAGATGGATAAAAAAAGAATTAGATCAAAAAATGCTGCTCAACACTGTATAACACCATCTAAGTTTTTTTTTGTTCAACAACTTCTGCATTCTCATGTAAGAATTTTCTAACCGTTCTGAAGCATCAGTGAATACGTTTAGAATTCAAACGTCCTCATTTTCCTGCGGACCATTTGCCAGTCGTGTGTACGAGGAAAGGCTCATCATCTTACCTAAGGGCCCTGACAACGGTATCTTCAAGCCTACTTGGGAGGGAAAAAAAGCGTTCTAGCTGTACTCTCAGTAAGGGAAGAACCAGCACTCTATACTCCCCGGATGAGACAGGCTTTCCCGCTTGGGAAAGAGTCCATGGTTTTATACAGTATTTCATCTTAAGGACGCTCGCTCTACTACTATAAGAGGGGCTCCATCTGCCTGGAGGGAGCAGAGCTTTTGGCACCCTTCTCTCTGACTTTGCCTCAAACACAACACACCGCCCGGGAGCAGCACACTGAGAGCCGAGACATCAGGCAAGCCCGCTTCCAGTCAGGGGGCATCTGCTCACCACCAGGTCGCAGCTGTACTTAGCGACCCCAGGCCACGGCGCAGCGCGGCTCCTCTGCGCTCGGAAGCCTAGGACAGCGAAGGCCGCGTCGTGGAAGCCTCTAACACACGACCTAGAGAACCAGCGAACCTCTGAGGCGCCGAGTTCGAACCGCCGCGGGAGCCGTTGGGACGCGCCTCCCGGGCCACGAGCCCCGCCCCCGCGCAGGCTCCGCCACGGCGTCGCCGGAGCGCAGAGCGTGCCGGGAAATGAGGCTGGACGTACGGATGGGCTGCACGGCGAGTTCATATTGGACTACAATTCCCATCATTAGGGCCGCCGATGCTCATTGGTGTGTGTCTGTGCGTGTATCTGTGTGAGGGAAGCCAAAACCTACAAATCCAGTATGAAGCCCGTAGCCGAAACCCTGGTTGGGGGGTGGGGGGTGAGGGAATTTGCACGGCGGGTTCATATTGGACTACAATTCCCATCATTACCGCCGGCGATACTCATTGATTTGTGTGCGTGTCTGTGTATCTCTGTGTCTGTCTGTGTGAGGAAAGCCAAAACCTACAAATCCAGTATAAAGCACGTATCCGAAACAGGGGGGCGGAGGGGCTGCACGCCGAGTTCATATTGGACTACAATTCTCACCATTACCGCCGCCGATGCTCGTCGATTTTGTGTGTGTGTGCATGGGGGTGGGGGGGAGTCTGCACGGCGAGTTCATTTTGGACTACAATTCCCATCATTACCTCCGGCGATACTCATTGATGTGTGTGTGTGTGTGTGTGTGTGTGTGTGTGTGTGTGTGTGTATGTCTGTCTCTGTGTCTGTGTGTCTGTGTGAGAGAAGACAAAACCTACAAGTCCAGTATGAAGCACGGATCCGAGACCCGGCGAGGCGGGGGTGGGGGAGGAGGGGGGCAGGAAGGGAGGAGTAGCCCCGCCCTCACCCAGCGCAGACGAGGGCAGCGCTTCCCCTTCGGAGACGGCGTGAGCCGCGGTCGCCTGAAGTTCCCTGGAGCTCGGGAGTTCGGAGCGGAGGCGCCAGCATCCCACACCTCGCTAAACGCTTCCTGGAGATCGCTCCGGCCGGGATGGGCGGCAGGACCTGGCTGCCGTTCCCAGTGCTCTTCCTGGCCGCTCTGCCCCCAGCGCTGCTGCCGGGGGCGGCCGGCTTCAAGCCCTCCTTGGACAGCGACTTCACCTTCACGCTCCCGGCCGGCCAGAAGGAGTGCTTCTACCAGCCTATGCCCCTGAAGGCCTCGCTGGAGATCGAGTACCAGGTAGGTGCGGGAGCGAACTGGCCTTCGCCGCTCACGGGCTTGGGAAACTTGCGGAATTCGAGCGAGGTGAGTCAAGAGGGTCGTCAGGGAAGCTGGCCTGCTCAGCGCAGGCGCACAGGCGAGGCTCTTGGGTGTCTGTAACTCACAAATTTAGCCAGTCCTAAAATTGACACTTACCCTCTCTTCCCTTTCCTCTGGTCGGAAAGAAGCCAGCACTGGTGACGTCGGTGGCGTTAGTCTTTGTTTCTTAATTCACCCATAGCTTTCCTAGCGAGTATACACTACAGTTCTAAGAGTTTCACGGTATGGGGCTGGTACACGTTCTTTATAATTTTTTTTAATTATTGGACGAAATGATGACACCGTTTGAATTACCCTCACCACTTTCACAAGATTCCAGTATTATAAAAATCATCACGGTGTTTGCTTTACTTAAGGAATTTTGAAGTGTGGCCATGTGAATATATCTAAGTCAGATTTTGAAATGTGTTCAAGGAAGCTGTTGCCGTGTTTAGTGGTACATTTCCGTTCCAGCTGCATATCCATTACTGTCAAATCAAATAAGATAATAGTATATTAAAACAATGTAACATCAGATTCTTCCCTTTTTTCTTTTTAATATCAGCAGAATACGGCAGTAGAAAGAAGTGTCTTAATTAAAGTCTACAAGTTTCCACCTGGCAAATTTCTGTGCCTCCTAATAGCCTTGCACCAAAACATATGTTGATGTGTTTTATCTTTGAGGCTTTTTTTAAAATTAAGTTCCAAATGCTATTAATTAGAGCAGAATAAAATGCATGTGGTGGAATGGAGTGAAAGCTCAGAAGTTACTGTTTGCATGTGGTGCACAAATGTACACTCACGTGGACAAATACATTTATTAAATCTTTTAAAAAAACTTAATATCCAATTTTATATGAAGAAACTTTAGGATGATTTATAGCTTACATTAAGTATCAGAAATTATAGTATCTAAAATCTAAGCAAAACTGAGATTACAGCTTAGTATTGTTTGATTTCGGTATGTGAGCAAAAATTCAGCATTTATCGAACAGTTGTGTGTAAGAAATTGTGTAGGGAGGAGGAACAAATAGAGAATCAGCCAGGCGGTGGTGGTGCACGCCTTTAATCCCAGCTCTTGGGAGGCAAAGGCAGGCAGATCTCTGAGTTCGAGGCCAGCCTGGTCTACAAGAGCTAGTTCAGGACAGGCTCCAAAGACACAGAGAAAACCTGTCTCGAAAAAAACAAACAAAAAGATAAATATCCCACAACCTGCCACCACTACCCAGCAGACACATAAAATTTAAGCAGATTGCTGGATGAAGTGTGAAAAGCAGACTTAAAGGAAGCAAAATTAGACACAGAGAAACCAACTATGGAGTTAGTGAGTCTAGATGGGAAAATAATTTTTATTAATCAAAGATTTCCTTGAAAACCAGGAATGGTGCCAAATGCTGGTAATTCTAAACACTCAGGAGTCTGAGAGCAAGGAATGACAAGCTTAAGGCCAGCCTGTGAGGAGACCCTTCTCAAAAGGTTGGAACACAATGGAGGATGTCAACCTCTGGCCTCCACTTGCACAGCTTTTAAAGGCAGGACATGGTGCACATGGCTCTAATCCCAGAATTCTGAGGGATACACAGGCAGGCCAAGCCTGGTTTACACAGTGAGCTCCAAAACTGCCAGGGCCCATAAAGAGACACTGTGATGTGGGATCTCCCACTGTATGTATGCTGTGAATACCACTGGTAAATAAAGGAACTGGCTTGGCCTGATAGGGCAGAACAGAGGTAAGTGGTGGGGAGGGAAGCTAGACTGAATGCTGGGAGAAAAGAGGCAGTCAGAGAAAAGAGCCCTCTGGAGCCTAATGGAACTTTACCTGGTTAGCCACAGCCACATGGTGATACACAGATTAATGGAGATGGGTTAAATTAAGATGTAAAAGTTAGCAAATAAGAAGCTAGAGCTAATGGGCCAGTCAATGTTTTAAATAATATAGTTTCTATGTGATTATTTTGGAACTGAGCAGACGGCCTCCTTACAACAACACTGTGTCCAATAAATAAGTAAATAAATAGGTAAAATATTTTAAAAGCCTTTACATCACATGATGTACTCATAGAAGTTTCTATTTTCGGGGTTTGTAATATGTATTTTTTTCTCTTCTATAGGTTTTAGATGGAGCAGGATTAGATATTGATTTCCATCTTACCTCCCCAGAGGGCAGAACCTTAGTTTTTGAGCAAAGAAAATCAGATGGTGTTCACACGTAAGTTGATTGTTTGAGACACAATATATTTACATATATCCCTGGCTGGCTTGGAACTTAGAATAATCCTTGTACTGTAGCCTTGTGAGTGCTGTGATCGATCATAGGCGTCTACAAGCAAGGGCACCACACCCAACTAACTAATTCCTTTGCTTTGGTTAATCTATTAACATTTTAAATCGGCCTTCTTGGCTTAAAAACATTGTTTTTTGGTTGTTACTGTTTTTGAGAAAGGAGTTCAATCATGTAACTGTCTGGACTGGAACTCAGATCTGCTTGCTTGCCTCTGTCTCCTGAATGCTGGGATTAAAGGCATTCACCACCATGTCTGGCCTTTTTTCCTTTTTTTTTTTCAGACAGGGTTTCACTGTACAGCCCTAGCTGTCCTGGAACTTGCTTTGTAGACTAGGCTGACCTCAGACTCACAGAGACCAGCCTACCTCTGCCTCCCAAGGATTGAGATTAAAAGCACGAACCGTCACTGCCCAGATGTTTTAATTTTTTTTAAAAATTTTGTGTGTATGGGTCTTGCGGTGGTAGCTTACACCTTTAATCCCTACCCTCAGAAGTCAGAGGCAGGTGGATCTCTGTAAATTCGAGGTCAACATGGTCTACGGAGCGAGTTCTAAGACAAGCTCCAAAGCTACATAGAGAAACCCTGTCTCAAAAACAAACAAGAGGAATTGTGTGTATGAATGTTTTACTTGCATGTATGTATGTGGTCCACATGTGTAACAGGTACCTGCAAAAGCCAGAACTTGATATCAGATACCCATAAGTGGCTCTCAGCTACCGTAACGCCATTTCCAAGGGATCAAGCACCCTCTTCTGATCTCCATAGGCAAGAAACACACACATGGTGCATGTATATACACCAAGGCAAACACTAATACACATAGAATAAATCCAAAAACTGGGTATATACCCAGTAGAATAGTATAATTTACTTTTTGTTCAATGCATTTGTTAAAATGGCTAAGTTCAATTAAGATTACAATTCATTTGAAATGAATTAAAGTTTATAATACTATAAACTTCATCATAACTTTTCTGAGTAACTTGTAGTTTATGTACACATATATATTATGCCAGTTAGATATGTAGTTTATATGAAATATAATTTTTAAATCATTCAAAAGTTTTATTTTCAACATGTGAAATGATTTAAAAATTACATTAATTTTTTAAAGAATTATTTCAGTGAAAGTTAACATTTGCTTTGTAGATAGGAAACATTAATTACTTAGTTCAGATATTAATAAATTTTTTCAGCATTTAGCATAATTAATGAAGAGTTGAATAACAACCTCTCTAAAATTAGGTAATAAAATATAATCTATTTTTATTATCCAGAAAAATATTAAGGATTAAACATAAATATGTATAAAGTTGGGCATGGTGGCTAATGCCTTTAATCCCAGCATTCAGGAGACAGGCAGGCAAAGATCTTTGAGTTTGAGACTGACCTGGTCTACAGAATGAGTTCCAGGAGAGCCACAGCCACACTGTGAAACCATCTCAATGCATGCCTCGTGCCCCCCCCCATAGCATCATTCTTGCCTACTACTTCTGTATTGCCTGTGAATTCTTGATGCTTTTGAGATACTAGGCAAGCCTAATGACAGTAATAAAATAAAAACTCAAGTAAAATCAAACGTTGGAGGATCACAAATTATGTATTTCTTACCCTTTTTGGAGCCATATCATCCAGGTGTGTCTACCTTTTGACTCTGCAATACAACCGCCAGGGTTTACACTCAAAAACTGCATAATCAATTATAAAAAAGAAATTATTTCTTTAAAAAAGCTCACGTTTTTAGCAAGTTTAGTGTTTTGTGTTGAGCTGCACTCATAGCCTTCCTCTGACGACACAGACAGCCTGTGAGCCACAGGTGAGACACTCCTGAATGAATGGCGTGTCCTTCACAAGAGCCATCAACTGATATACACTGAGTATGATAGAAAGTTTTTCTTGGGAAATAATTGTTTCTTTTTATAATTGTTCTACACTCTGTTCACCAGCATTTGCTCAGGCTGTGACAAAATATATGAGAAAGTCAACTTAAAAAAAACAAGGTTTATTTTGAGATGTAAGTTGATGGTTGTTACTGTCTTAGTTAGGATTTCTGCTGCTGTGCAGACACCACAGCAACCGTTATGAAGGGAAACCAGGTGCAGAGGTTAGTCCATCACCATCATGGCAGCAAGCATGACAGCACACAGGCAGACACGGTGCTGGAGAGGTAGCTGGGAGTTCTGCATCCAGAGAGAATTGACAGGCAGCAGCAGGAAGAAAGACACTGGGCCTGGCTTGAGCATTGGGAATCTAATAGTCCACCTTCAGTAACATACTTCTTCCAACAAGGCCACTCCCCATGAACTAAAAATGTTCCCTTGTTTTAATATAGTGTGGAGACTGAAGTTGGTGACTACATGTTCTGCTTTGATAATACATTTAGCACCATTTCTGAGAAGGTAATTTTTTTTGAATTGATCCTGGATAACATGGGAGAAGAAGCTCAGGAACAAGAAGACTGGAAAAAATATATTTCTGACACGGATGTGCTGGAGATGAAGCTAGAGGATATCCTGGTTAGTAGAACATTAATAAGTAATGACAGTTCATTGGTCAGATATTTTAGTGTATGGCAGGGATTAAAGTAAGCATTCTTAACCATATTTTCCAAAAACTATTGGTTTTTCCATATTTTTACATCATTTCAAATCTCAATTTTAGCTTACGTTTAGCTTTTTATTAGATTTTCAAATCACTTATCTCAGTTGAATCTTATCTTAAAACTACTTTTTTTTTTTAAGAAACAGTGCAATTTAAAAAATAAAAAACAAGTTTAAACTTATTTTCTCATAGTTCCAGAGGTCAAAAATCTGAAGTGAATTTCACAGATCTACAGTCTTAGAGGTGTTGACAGGGCTGGGACCTTTTTCACTGCAAGGTCTGCTGGCATTCCATGCCTTGTGCCTCTTATATCACTCCACACTCTTGCATTGTTATAATGTGTGTTGGACCTCCCTGGATGGCATAAACACTCAAATAGCAAAATATTATAGACACACAATGCATTAGGTAAAAACTGCCAAATAACTAAAAATATAATCAGTTGGTCTTTTGAAAACTGTGATTAAAAAAATATTTTATGGTTGTCAGAATTATAAGAGAGATATGTATAAAAGTCCTGGTGCTATGTTAATGCAATTTGATCTTGACTCTTCAATTCAAGGTATCTTTATTCCTCTGTTAAATAAATTTAAATTTATCATTACTATTTTAAAGCCTCATGGAGGATCTCCAGGTGACACAAGTCATACCGGTCCTTTAACTGAATTATATTCTCATATATTTTAAAAATTGTTTTGGTTTTGAAAACTAGCATAAAGCATATTAGTATTTTTAATAGAGAAATTACTGTATTTATTTCCAGGAGTCCATCAACAGCATCAAGTCCAGACTGAGCAAAAGTGGCCAAATACAAACTCTGCTTAGAGCATTTGAAGCTCGTGATCGAAACATACAAGAAAGCAACTTTGACAGAGTCAACTTCTGGTCCGTAGTGAATTTGATGGTCATGGTGGTAGTGTCAGGCATTCAGGTTTATATGCTGAAAAGTCTGTTTGAAGACAAGAGGAAAAGTAGAACTTAAAACTCCAACATAGATTACTTAACATTGGAGAAAAAAAGAGGTAGAAAATTCTAATACACTGTTACAGTCAAGATCATTAGTAGTCGTTTCCATAACATTTTCAGAAATTAAGTATAAGATATGTAAAATTTACTACAGAAAATTATTGTATATCCAGATAACTTTACTGACCCAGTTATACACTTAAATGTGTATAACAGGATATCATATATAATTTAAATTTGATTGGAGCAATTAGCATTTTTTAGGTATAAAAATCTCTCCCAAATATGTATAAATTAAATAAATGAACAGTATCCATAAGCACACCACCAGTTTGCTTTTACACAGAACTTTCTCTGTAAATTGGCTGGTACAAAGTAATTTATAAAGTTTGCAAATCATTTGAGGTTTTTATAATTATGGACTGAATAAGTCAGCTTTCCTCTATTACATCTTTCCAAAAAAAGTAAATATATGTATACCACTGAAAGGCTTTCTTTGTATTGCCCTTATCCTGGAACTAGCTCTGTAGACCAGTTCGGTCTCAAACACTGAGATCCACCTTCCTCCTTCTGAGTACTGGGATTAAAAGTATGTGCCACTACTGCCCAGATATTTTTAAGAATTTTATAACCAAATACAATGTGAAACATTATAGAAAAGTATTAGTTTTTATAAACTTAGTTTGCATTTCCAAAAACTAACATTTTGATAATTAAATTGGAAAGGCATTCTTTCCTCAAAAATTAGGCAATGTCTTTCTCATTGAAATGACATTATAAAGGTTTTCTTATGTGAAGATATAAATAGGGTAGTCGATGTTTATGAATAGGATGCATTCTGTCTAGACATTAGCTAAGATAAAATTTGAGACAAAAATGAATGTATTTTTATACCACCCATCAAAACTGTTGTATTGGTTTCAACACAGCTATCGGTTTTGTTTGTTGTTTGTTGGTTGGTTTTTTATTTGGTTATTGTTTTCCAGACAGAGTTTCTCTGTGTAGCCCTGGCTATCCTCGAACTCACTCTGTAGACCAGGCTGCCCTCAAATTCACAGAGATCCACCTGCCTCTACCTCCCGAGTTCTGCCTCTCAAGTGCTGGGATTAAAGGTGTTTCCTGGCCAGTAGCTATTGGTTTTGATAATACATTGTCACCAGCAGGTGTGAGGGACACACTGCTGAATAGATCTGACCTTATGTAAATAAATAGCTCCTAAGTTCTCAAAATCATCAGAATATGAGGGAAAACTTAGATAAACTTGAGGATACCAAATACAAAAGTTCACCTAAGTAGAACCATAAGATCTAGAATCATATCAGCTCACCTTGCTGTCCCAATTCTAATAGAAAACAGAGAAGGGTAATTTGAAGTTCACTGGAAGAAATTATGTTTGTCATAGTTTTTATTTTCTAGTTACTGTTTTCAATTATAAATGTTCAGGTAGATTTTATAAAATGTACATCCTACTATAAGATTTAGTACTGATTATACATATTTATTATAGGATTTATTATAATTTTCACAAAATTACCTATGGTCACTTATGACTTTGAAGGATTAAAACAATCCCAAATTATAAACAGCTAATGTGAATCTAAAAGCCAATACACACAAAAACGCTGTCTTTCTAGCTTATTAGTCTGTAGTACAATCTTATTCAAATACTAGTAATTTAATTTCATCATGAAACAATTAAATTACACACAATTATAGTGTTATGAAAAATGTATTGTCAATTAGAAATAATGAACAATCAAATCTGGGTATTGTACCCATTATATATGTTATATATTGCTATAACTCTTACTGAGCAATAATGATCTTCCACTACTCTGCTATCGCACACACACACACACACACACACAAAACATATGGTAGGTACTCAGAGAAATACTTTATTTACAGTTTATACTCAGAATAGTACAAAGATATACTGTATTTTTCCTTCTTGGGAGAAGACTAGAGATTTATTTTTCCCTATTCAGAGGCTTTTCAAAACATGAGATAAATGTCATATATGATCAGTAACCGGCCAAGAAAATGCTCCAGTATTGTAAGCAAAACTCCTACAGCACACAGAACAAAGTGAGATCATGACCTAAAAGAGCCTTTTTTCCACTTTCAAGTGGAAGGGAAGCAATCTATAGGTACCATAACTGATAAAGCAGACTACACTTGAGTCTACTGTGTCTTTTCTGTAAGACTGTGATTAAGAATTCTACCTCTTAGATACAGCTGATACTGTACTGTACCTAACACTGTACTTGTTACTAACATCATCTTGTATGTATGTAATTTGTGCCACTGATTTTTAAATCTATAATTCAGTTACTTCCTGCCATTTAAAATGGTAATAGTATCTTTATTGAAAAAAGTAACTTACAAATGTTAAAGATTTTATTTTTATAGATAAAAATAAAAAGGTATTAAGAACCATGTTGCCTGTATTAATCATAAAAAGAAAAATTGTAAGCAAAAACCAAAATGTTTGTTTATTTTTAAATGTGTATTATCTGCTTCACTGTAAAGACTGTATTAAAAGTCTTTTAATGTTACTTTCTCAATTATACTAAAATCAAATAAGCCATCACTTGATCTGACTTATCTGGTTAATTGTATAAATTACTACAGTAGTTTAACAGAAGTGTAGAGATGATCATTCTGAGTTGCATTTGGATTATGTACTCTTACCAGGTCAATAAACGAAAGGTAAATAAGCATCTGAAAATGTTGTTGAATAAATTATAAATCAAAATATATTTAGGTATATTTACCATTAAACATTATTATCTTAAAATTAACAAAAACCAAGTCCCTGTAATTTTGTACCTTCAGTGAAAATTTTTTATCAGAAATTTAAAGACATATTAATTTAGCATGTAATGTTTTTCTTTTCTTTCTTTCTCTCTTTTTCCTTTACTTAGTTTTTTGAGACAGGGTTTCTCCGTGAAACTGTCCTGGAACTAGCTCTGTTGACCAGGCTGGCCTTGAATTCATAGAGATCCTCCTGTCTCTGCCTACTGAATGCTGGGATTAAAGACGTTCGCCACCACTGCCCAGCTTCTCTGAGTTTTTCTGTCATACCACTTTGTTTTGGAACTGCCAGTGTACTCAGTTATCTCTACGCCCAAACATACATTTTTACCTAAAAGGTACTTATGATTACGAGAAGCAAAAACCAGGACAGGCGGTGGTAGCACACACCTTTAATCCCAGCACTCCAGAAGCAGAGGCAGGTGGATGTGAGTTCAAGGCCAGCCTGGTCTAAAGAGCTAATTCCAGGGTTGCACAGAGAAACTCTGTTGGGAGGACAAAGACCACCCACAGCCCAAAGTCTGGGATTCTACACAAGCATTCAAGCCTTTGTTCACTGTTCCACCCCATGCAAGCCTGACAATGAGTTTGGTCCTCAGGACCCACATGAAGGTTGAAGGAGAGAATGGACTCCAGAGTTGTCTTCTGACCTCCATATGTACATCATTGTACATGCACTAACATGAGTACATACAAAAGATAATAGTAGGCCATGCAGTGGTGGTGCACACCTTTAATCCCAGCACTCAGACAGAGACAAGTGGATCTCTGTGAGTGGAGGCTAGTCTGATCTACAGATGGATTTCTAGGACAGGCTCCAAATCTACAGAGACACCCTGTCTTGAAAGGGGAAAAAAAAAAAAGATAATAGTAAAATAAATATTTTTTTTAATGTTACCATTCAGGACTGGGGAGATGGCTCAGAGGTTAAGAGCACTGACTATTCTTCCAAAGGTCCCAAGTTCAATTCCCAGCAACCACATGATGACTCGTAACCACCTGTAATGAGATCTGGTGCCCTCTACTGGCCTATAGAATATATGCAGACATGCAGGCAGAACACTATATATATAAATAATAAATCTTTGAAAAAATAAAATGTTACCATTCTTTAAGCCTAGAATATGGCTCAGGAAACAATATCTATTCAAAACAATATGGAAGTTAACCTTAAACATTTACTAGCCAGACAGTCTTAGGAAGTCAAAACTCCTTTGAGCCTACCCCTTCATTTGTACAAATAATTTTAAGTACATATTAAAACTTGAGTACAGATGTGGTAGTACATGCCTTTAATCCCAGGACTCCAGAGACTGAGGAGTACTGTAACTGTGAGCCAGCCTGGGCTACATGACACCCTAATTTAAAAAAAAAAAAGCCACAAAATTTATATGAAAGAATATAGTGATTAGGGACTGGAGAGGTGGCTCAGAGGTTAAGAGCACTGACTGCTCTTCCAGAGGTCCTGAGTTCAATTCCCAGCAACCACATGATGGCTCACAACCATTTGTAATGAGATCTGATGCCCTCTACTGGCCTATAGAATATATGTAGGCAGAATACTGTATACATAATAAATAAATAAATCTAAAAAAAAAAGAATATAATGATTAGTTTCTTCATACCATCCAGACACACTCCGCACACTGGCAGAAACCCTTGGGGTCTTTTCTACTTCTGAATTCCTTTGTTTTTATATGCCTACATTTTGAAATCTCATGTCGTAATCTGAAGCAGTATCATTGCCTTTCCAAGAAAGGGCACAGTTTCAAAGCCATTATGTTACTTATAAGAGGCCACAGGACTGAATCCCTACATCTTTTTACAGAAGTGTGTGTGAATATATGCTGTGTGTGGTTTCCTACAGAAGCCACAAGTGGGCATTTGATCCCCTGAAACTAGAATTATAGATGGTTGTGAGCCACCACGTGGGTGCTGGGAACCAAACCCAGGTCTTCTGAAGTAACAATAATCACAACAGATCTTAACAGCTCAAGCCATCTCTCCAGGTCCCCTAAGAAAAACAAAACAAAACAAAATGCAGGGCTAGGTATGGTGAATCAGACTTTTAATCCCGCCGCTCAGGAGGCAAAGATGGGCAGATCTATGTAACAAGTTACAGGACAATCAAGACTACATAGAATCTGTCTAAAAATAGTAACATGGAGCTAGCAAGATAGCTCAAAGTGGGTAAAGACCTCTCTTGGCAAACCTAACAAACTGAGTTCAATCTCTGGCATCTACAAGTGCACTGTGGCATAGTTGTTCACACACATTTGCACACAAATAAAACTAACATGTAACCCAGCATTTGTACTACTGAACATTTATTCATGAGAAACAAAAACTTAACACTTAAATAAAACTGCCACACAAATGTACAACACCAATTTGTACAATCAAAAAGCTGAATAATTCAAATTCTTTCTACAAGTGAATAACTGTATATGTATATCATAAAATAAGCCCCCCTCTCTTTACTGTTTGGATAGAATCCAGGGCCTTGCATGTGTGAGGCAAGCATTTCCAACATACTCGAGCCCTGAGAAGCAGTGATACTTGGAACAACTTGGATGAACCTAAGTGCACTTACCTGGTAAAAAGCTTATACCTGATTTCTACTCATACACTCTTCAAAGTTTCGTGCCTTGGCCTCTGTGGGCACACACACATGTGGCACATCTGTGGCATACACCAACAACACATAAAGATCTTTTGAAAATGGTCATCAACACATTGATAGGGAAAGAACAGTATGTTTCCAAATATTGTAGTTATCACTCTCTGACTTAACAGGTCAACAACACTTTACTTTTTTAGCAAACAATCATGATACACAGGGAAAAGAGAAACTCTGAAAACAGGAATAAGTGATTCCTTCACCTACAGAGTTCCAGATGAAAAAGTGCTGCACAAGTTCTAATTGTTCTTAATAATAAAAATCCAGAGCCAGATGTCAGGGTAAATGCTGAAAGAGCAGAGAGACAAAGGAGGCAGCCACAGCCAATTCTCACCTTGCGAACTCCTCAGCCATAAAAGGGCAATTCCTATTTGTCAGTACAGACCTCCAGGCCTCTAGGGTTAACTAGTGGCTAGCTCCACTCTCTCATCTTCAGGCAAGCTTTGTTAGAGCACAAACAAAAAGATAACCACAAAAAAAGACTCAAAATTAAGACAGTAACGCATAAACTTGGTATGTAATTTACTTGTTTCACTATTTTGTGGGGAGGAGGTGGGTAGGCTCATGGGAGCCACAGCAGGTCAGAACTCTGAAGTCAGCTCTCTTGTTTCCATCATGCAAGTACCATGGATTGAACTCCATCAGGATTGGCAGTGGCAGCCCTGTAAATTCCTTTTTTTTTTTTTTATTGTATATTGGTGTTCTGCTTTCATGTAGGTCTGTGTACCTACCACATGTGTACAGTGTTCATGAGCCCAGAAGAGAGCATTGGATCCTCTGGAACTGGAGTTACTCGTGACTGTAAGCCATGGTGATGAGAACTGAACCCAGGTCCTCTGCAAGAACAGCCAGTGCTCTAAACCACTGAGTCATCTCGCCAGCCCAAATTCCTAAAAGGAACATGATTCTTTAAAAGATTTTATGTTTTCAAACTCACCAGGCATGTTTAAAAGCACCTCTCCCCCCACACTATCTTGCTGACCCTGTACATTTTTTTTTTAATGTGCTGGCAAATATTCCTTGGCCAAATAACAAGGGAGGTAGGCAACAGTTTACAGCGTGTCCAGCCTTTGGACATTGTACCACAGCATTGTCATCTACAGCATTTACACTCGAAAACTATGCAATGGAGTTTACACCCATACCCACCCAGAAAATCAGGTTTTAAGTAACTTTATTATTTTGTGGGGGGCACATTCATATCTACCCTAGGCCACAGACTGGATATGCCTAGTAAACAAGGAATAAGAAAAGCCTACAAACTATGCAGACAGCCCATTTATTATCAAATGCAATGAGTTCCAAACAGAAGACCAGTGTGGAAAGGTCATCCTCAACAGACCTGACATTCCCAGCATAACCAAAGCAGTGGTAATAAATTTCGCACAGTATTAACTACTAATTTTTCAAGTATCAGCTTGCTATTTCTTGTTTTTGCTAGACCCTTATTCTTAGGTTGTATCTGTCTCCTTCTCTTGTAATGCACTAATGTGCCATCCCTCTACGGAGAGACGTGTCTATTTGCCACACTACACAATATCAAGGACTTAATATGTAATTCTCTCTTCCACAGCCCTAGTATTGGGATCACCTGTGTGCATCACTACACCCACCACTGATTTTAATTGAGCTTTTCAGGTGGTATAAAAACAGGAAGAAGGATTTCTTGCTTTGTCTGTTGCATCATTGCCACAACCTCTGCACTAACCACACCTGCATCGCCTTGGATCTGCCCCACTCACCTGCTCTTCAACTTCCAGCTGAGACATGATCATTTGGGGCAGGAGAGAGAGCTCAGAGGTTTAGAGCACTGGCCATTCTTCCAGAGATCTTGAATTCAAGTCCCAGCAACCACACGGTGGCTCACAACATCAATAATTAGATCTGGTGCCCTCTTCTGGCATGTAGGCATACATGCAGACAGAACACTGGATATATAAAATCTTTAAAAAAAAAAAAAAAGACATGATCATTTGGAGTTAGCAGAGAAGTAACAGATAAAGGATGGTTTCCTTCACATCGTGCTTACATGTTTACACAACTTTAAATGATAAAAGATCCAGAACTGGAGCTTTCTCTTTTAAATTTTTGAATTTACTGTGTGCATGTGTGTGAACATACACCACAGCATTCTTGAGAGCAGGGAGCAGTGCTGGACAGCTCTCAGGAGATAGGGATTGGACTCAGGTTGTCAGGCTTGGGCGTTAACATCTTACTGGACCAAGGTTTGTATCCTTTTTAAAAAGGCTCTGAATGTTTAGTATGCAAGATTCTCTTTGATTAGACTACAACAAATGTCTGTCATTTTCCAAACTATTTCCAAATACCCAAAGACAAAAGTAAGTACTCTAACCTAGAAGGCACTCCTGGAAGCTGCTATAAATTACTTTAGCCTTTGCTGTCTTTTCCAATGTTGCCCCTCACCACATAAAATGAAATTTTTACTCAGCTTTCAAATGTATTAAATATTTTATAAGTATATTATCCTTAATTTTTTTCCAATATTTTCCTTGCTTTAAGCAAACTTGGTGACTATGTTATTAATCAGTACTTACATATACTTAGCACAGTTAAGGACCGTGTTCAACCCCAGCACAAATACAGCAGGCAAGTCAAATGTCTCAGTAATAAAATGCTTGCAATGTAAATCTAACTGCCATAATGTTAGAGAGATGGCTCAGTGGTTAAGAACACTGACTGCTCTTCCAAAGGACCTGGGTTCAAGTCCCAGCATCTACATGGCAGCTCACAACTGTCTGCAACTTCAAGATCTGACAACCTCACACAGACATACATGCAGGCAAAAAACTAATGCAAATAAGATTTTAAAAAATTAACTCTAACTGCGTAAATACAAGAGCAGAATTCGAGGACTGACTGCACACTTGTCCTGACTGACACACATCCACACATGCACTGCAGCATGCACACACATTCACACACATACACATGCCATGGAAACTCAGGTTTCACTGCGTATTCAAGGCTGGCCTGGAACTCAGTGCTGGGAATAAAAGCATGTGCCACAGCACCCGTCAAAATAAGTATCTAAGAGTCCCTACCCACTCTCCGTAAGGATCCAGTTCAGATCTCCTTAAGGATCACTATATACAGCAATACAATAATGCTCATATTTTCACAACAGATGGAAAAGCTTAATATGCCAAAAATGGGATACTGAATGCTGCTCGCCCATACATGAATGTGTGGCAGCCAGAGGTCAACATCAGGTAATTAATTAATTAATATAGAAATCACTCTTGAGTCTTAATGAACCTAAAGACTTACCCTTCAGTGATATTTTTAGGTTTGGGACTGGAGAGATGGCTCAGCAGTTAAGAGCACTTGCTGCTCTCCCAGAGGTCCTAGGTGCTCTAGGTGACACCCAACCTCTCATAGCCACTCAAGTGGTGCGAACACAGGCATGCAGGCACTCACAGATGGGCATCAGCTCCCCCATCCCCTCCCCATCACCCCAGACAGGACTTCTCTGTGTGGCCCTAGTGTGCCAGCACTGGACAGCTGGGCATCAACTTTCTGGCGCATCATAAAGTCATAGTGGATGGAATCATCAAGGTAGAATAAGACAACATAAAATGGTATTAATTTCCCAAAGACTAGGTTATAAGAAGACAGGACAACATTACTAGGAGACCAGTGGTAGTGAGTCCACAGGCATGTACAGAACACCTTTCAAATATTTTAAAGACAGAGCACTCAGCCATTGAAAAGACATATTAACAGGCTAGTTTCCTATCACTGATCTTATACACATTGAGTACATTCTATAAACTCCAAAAAATGCTGTTCACATGAGATTTGAGAAAATTCTAACTAAATGGATTTTTTGTTGGTTTTTTTTTGAGGGGGGGGTCAGATTTAGTTGAGCAAAATGTTATCCAAGGTTCTATTATTAGTCACTCTCCACACACCAATTTTTGTACATTCAAAAACTTACCATCAGATCCAAGAGGAATGCATGTCATACAGTAGAAACAAAAAAGATGTCTGACTATGAATAAAAGAAGCAGGACATAGACTACGATTTTGAGGGAATCTCAATACTGGATCACATGCAGGCTCCAGATCACCTGTCTCAGCCTCTCAAGTGCTAATAAGATACTACAGGCCTTTCTTCTGTCACATGGCTAAACTAGGAATTTTGAACAGAATATTTGTTTTATCCCAAAATACATAACATATCCCCTGTGAAGGTTTCTATGCTTGTGGGAATTGTGTGACAAATTACATCCTTGAGAAAAGGAATTACTAAGAATCCAGTTTTTATATGCATCTCCAGAAACAGAAAATGTAACAAGGGAGTGGGCTAAAAAAACAAGATTCTGTCAGGTACAAAAGGACAGTAATCTTGTTTATTTATCTTATTCTTGTTCATTTTAATTTTTAATTAATTGGGACAGAGTCTCACTATGTACATAGCCCAGGCTAGTCTCAAAATTTTTGTTTGTTTATCCAGACAGGTTATCTCTGTGAACTCACTCTGTAGACTAGGCTGTCCTCAAACTCAGAGAGATCCACCTGCCTCTGCCTCCTGAGTGTGGGATGAAGGTGCATTGAATCTTAATCCTCCTACCTCAGCCTCTCAAATAGTGAGATACTTGCAATCCTCAGCACACTGAGCTTATTCTAATTTTAAATATAAGGAAAATTAATATTTCATTTCTTGTAGCTATTACTCTGAAACACTGATATTATAATAATGTACCAACATTTTTAGGTACTCCCATCTATTTTCTCTACAGAGATTCAGTTTGCTTACAAAGTTTCTCCGATGTCAGAATGTATCAGAGGCATCTAAACTTCCTAATTATCACCAATTAGAAAAACACCCATGATTAGATAAAGTTCTTACTTTACTTTTAACTGTCAAGTTTTGTTTATTTTCTGGAGCAAGGACTTTTTGTCCCTACTGTATGACATGTCAAATTTTGCCTTAAGAGAAACTGAATGGGACTTTTGTAGTCAAATATATTTGAGAAAGAAAATTTCTCCATAGAGGGCCGGCGGGGGGCAGTATCTTCCTTAGTCATAAAACAATCTCTTTCAAACTCTAGTAACTATTTTAAGCCAGAATATATTCCAACCAAAATTTAATAACACCTAGTAGGAAAACAATAAAGTAAACCAAAACACAATTTTATCCCACACTGATATACAGGAATGTAAATGTATCCACGACAAAAAACAAATGCAAATACTTGAACATTAACCTGCCAACAAAAATTAAGACAGTACAACCTCAACTCACACAATAAATTTCCACTTACCTGGCAAGGTCTGACTTCCATTATATATATTAGAACTTACAGACTGGCTTGGCATTTATACAAACTTGTAACCTCAGCTCTTCAAAGACCAGAAGACTGTTTGAGCTCAGGAGTTTGAGACAAGCATTGAGAATTTACAGCTCTTCTGCTAAGAACTGGTTTGTCATTTAGTAGCAGGGGTCATTACAAACTATTTTAAATTACAAGGGACAGAGATTAAAATAAGGTCTGCTACTGTCTCTTCTGGAGCTGCTACCAAGTCTCTCTTAGTCTACCTGCACTTCTGAGTTAGCCTTGTTGCCGCTTGTTGGACACGCTGGAGCCTATCTCAAAGGCCCGGCTCGTCCTCTCCTACATCTGCCTAGTCCAGCAGCTGCCGAGACTCACAGTTCGCTTGTTCTTTTGTATTTCTCTTAAATGCTTAAAAAGAAAAAGGAAGGAAGGTATATTATTTTACAATTTTGATTCTGCAGTTTAGGCAAAAAAACATTTCAGCAAAAATGGGAATTTTGTTTTACATGTGCACCAACCCCTGTGCAGAAGAAAGTCTGAAATTCTCTCATTTTGGAACAGGGTAGGACAGAGCAGAGACACACTGTCTTTCAAATACAAAGCTTGATGCAAGCTGTCTAAAAATAAACTTTTTTAAAAGATCATTTCAGATGAACACAAAGTATTTATTAATGTTATTATGGGAGAAAAAAGAAATGAAAGCAAAGGTCTTTAAAGACTAACTCAAGTAAATAAAGTAAAAGTAGAGAATCCTTCCCTCCTTAGATAAAAAGCAGTTTACTACTGCACCAGTGTGTATTTTCAAGCAAATACAGAAGAAAAACTCATTAGCTCTTTAAAAAATACACACATTTAATGTTGGTCTGCTTTAATTCTAAGTATAGCAATTTCAAAAATACAAACTGAACATCAGAGCCATGTGAACCACCATGATAAAAGCAAACAGACATTCACAATAATTACGTCTAGAGACAGTTCAGCTTGGTAAGTTGTTTTCTGAGTGTCTTCAAGAGTCACTAAAATACTGCTGGTGTTCAGTTAGAATTAAAGGATCTGGGGAGATGAGATATGGTACAGCCAGAGCGAATAAGGAATTACATTTTGCATTACCCCTAGATAAACAAACATTCAAAACTCAACACAATCTCTGTGTATTATTCAAAATATTGCAGCTGCAGGAAAGGCAACCTTAAATTAATAACTAGGGGAAATCACGTTTTGGTGGCGGTGAACAGAAGTGACAGTTTGTAATTTGCACTTTGTAAAGCTCATCTATACCTGGTCAACCAGGAACCAAATGCAGGACAACGAAGTTCTCTGCTTCTTTTGGCTATAATGTGACAAGAAAAGTCATCTTTTGAAGATGCTTAAAGAAATAAAGCATGTTTCTTTAAAAAAAAAAGTCAAATAATCAATTAATGGAATAAATAAGCACTAACCCATAGTTTTACCATTCTTTCATCAATACACTTCACAGATTTTTCATCTTGGCAAAATTTTCCCCAATTTTTAGTCTAAAATCCACCACTCATAAAAAAGTAAATTGAAGAGCTACCTAAACAAT